GATATACTATAATATTGGGTAGGCATGGTCAATTTTTTTCAATTTTTGCACACAAATGCTACAACATGTGTTCAAATTTTTGTACGTTCATTGGCTACAGTTAATGAGTAATGAACAAGAAACCCATTTTTCATTCCTTTTGAAGGACAGAGTTGTTCTCAGTTTATGTAGTGCTATGGGTGTGTCTTTCAATTGATTTGATCCATTTTGAATATCAATCTGCGTGCAAGAATTTCCAATGTTTTCGCAAAAATTGAAGTCGACAGGTTCATTTTGACAGCAAGGACAACAGATAGCCGGACAGACGGAGAGAAGAAGATACTTAAATTAATTCCGAATTTGATGCCGATGAAGAACACATACACTTGAAGGAATCTCTGAAGATTTCTTCCGGACGCTACAAACGTCCAGACAGACGAATATTTGGTGATAAAAAGAAATAATAATAAATTTGCATTGTATACCATTGAATTTAATTATAATATTTTGCCTTATGCTGTAGATAGAAACTAAATTAACAAGAAGTACACAAAATATACATTCGCTTGCAGCCGAATCTTTTGAATCGCCTCTCATATAACCGTTCCTAAGGGAATTAAAGCTTTGTATGATAAAAAAGAATAATTTCCAATATTTCAGCTTGTAATAGTAAATTGACAAAGCAATCTACCTTATCAAATTTGCACCACATACGTCTATTTCTTGGATACCACCGCATGTAAAGCTTCTCATGGAATTTAAACCTTTGGATGTCAAAAAAAAATTTTTTTTATTAATTTTTTTACGATGGAAAATTGTGTACGATAGTAATTGAATAAAAAAATTAATTGGACTTAATTTAAACCAAATAGATCTATTTCTTACTTCCTCTCCATACAAGATATCTCCTGAATAGTAAGTCTTTTGGACAAAGGGTTAATTTTTAAGATTTCATGATGAAAATTAATGCAAAGAAGCATTTCAGCAAACAAATTGACTGTAGTGAGTTTGGATCACATAGGTCAATGTTTTTTGGACCCCAACGGCGCTATCACGAAACGCGAACACTTATATAAAAGAAAAATCCACACTTCCGATATGCGGACTTTTATGACAAAACGAACGAATAACTATACTCGGCGAAGGGGATATGCAATAGTCGGCTTTGTCCTATTATAATGCTCTTACTTCTTTTTCGGATATATTTACAATGGAAATTTGTATGCATGCTATGTTATTGATATTCAATAGGTTGCAGAGGCCGTAGAATATGAGGCGTATAATGAATGAAAGGGTAATTCGTATAGAGTTTTTAGTTATAAAATTATTTGCTTTGAATCAAATCTAATTTCTTCCTATTTTTTTTGTTTTTTTTATTTTTCTGCAAAATAAACTTTTTCCCCATTTAATAAAGAATATGTTGAAAAAAAGCTTATGTAACTGAAGAAATCTTTTTCAATATTTTTCTTCTTTCTACTTATCTTACAATTCAATTGCAGTACAAATGAATGAGAGATTTTGTCTGCGAGCAATGAATTCACACAGTATTTTTCCTTATGCATCTACAAGCCTCTTTATATACAAGTAGAAATATTTGCATATGCAAGAACTGGGGTAATAAAATTGGAACTTTTTTTTTTTTTTTTAAAATTGCTCATATAGGGAAGCTTTGCGTTGTTATGAGCAAACGTAAGTCACGATGGAAATAACGTACATATGTGATGTACTTTTAATTCTAATAACCATATATCCGAACGATAATTAGATTGAATTAAGCAGCGATTCATAAAAGGAATATTAAAGCAATCACTTGCCATGTTGTCTTTAATCAGGAATGCAGTAAATATAATAAATGGTTTTTTTTTCATCATAAGAGCAATTTTTTTTTTAAAACTTAACTAAGGCTACTTGTAACCGTGACTTCAAAATGTTAATAAAATATTTACATTGTATGTTATACAATAGCGTTATTAGAATTAATCAGTTTACGGATGCTCCTAAAAGATACCATAATTTATGCATCTATTATTGAGAAAGCAAGTACACTCAACTATGGTTTTACACGGTCTTTTTTTATGAGATTTTGAAATAACACGGTTCACCAAACGAATTTTTTGTTTTACCACGAATTTAAGAAAATATATAAAAATTTTTTTAATTCTAATTTCGACCATGTCTCATAGAAACTTATGTGTACAGCAACAAAACATTCAATTGAGGCACACCTGGGTGTCTGTGAGAAGTCAATCGGTTTATGCCCACACAAACGTTAGTAACGTTGCTCTACTACTACTTGGCCGTTAATAACGAACGAAATTCTTCATTTCAATCATTACGCTAGACATATCTAATATATTCAGGGATGATAGCATTTTTGATCGAATGCACGTTTGTTGATTAGTTGGGAAATTGATTTCTATTCCTAATTTCCATTTCTTATTTGACGTAACATAGATATCATTACTACCTTCTTTGTATAGTTTAATAGAAAAATATTTTGAGTTTCTTCATTTCATACGATTTTTTAAACTTGGCGAAAATATCCCCCAAATTTTCCATATGTTGCATATTGTTTTGCACTGATTTCTTAGGATCAAGCATCAACCGTGTAAAAAAAGTTGGGTGTACACTGTGTTTATTAGATATTGCACAAAGCATACTGTTTTTAAACCTATTTAAAGCTTGTTGTCCGTCCATCCGTCTCATCGTATTTTTCTATATATTTGGAAATTTGACGGGCCACAAATTTGGTACACCGCCAAGAGTCATACGTATATATATTTTTAAATCTATTTAATATTTTCCGTCCGCCCTTCCGTGTTCTTTCATGCTGTTGGAAAGATCACAATGGACCGGTTATATCCACTAAAGAGAAGTACGTTTACTTTCAGTGGAAATTTGAACGATTTCCACCTAAAAACGCGCGCAGATAGTTCGAAAAACTTATTCAAAAATAGCCTCTAAAAGGTGTGAATTTGAAAGCTGATACAAATATTATCGAGAGATAACTCCAAGACTAATCTGGAAATAGTCTCAATCGACATTTCGATACGCTTAAATTTAACGAACTATTTTGTAATTCCGATGAAGTTTTCGATCCACGTTGCGGCTGTTAGACGTCCGGATCGAAGCTTGCGTCATTGGGCCATTGTCAAGAACAACGTGACAACACTCAGCCTTGACACTTAAACTGAGGCAATTGATCTCATATCGTCTTCGTCAAGTTAAAGAATCAGGGATGGCGTTTAAATCGAGACAAACTGTTCAAGGCTTTTCTAAAAACCAAAAAATTAGGAAATAAACTGAGATATCCTTTTCGCAAAATTAAGAAGTCAGGAAATGAGACAATTAACACCATATCTTACATGTAGAGTGAAGCAGGCCGCAGGATCAGCGCCTACAACCAGAGTTGGCCTAGTCGAATGTTAGTCGTAAAGTGTAAATATGATGAATGGCTTCCAAGCTGAGAGAAGTAAAGTATCCAAGAATAGTGCATACAATGACGCAACCCACTCTTATACTCTTCCCCACGCCAAGAAGTCACGAATTGCTTGAAAACTGGGACGATTGACCCCATTTCCTCTCCTTAATATTAAGCAAATAATATCCTGTCCTTAAAGATTGTTGTTCAGCGTGTTCGTGACACTACTATTAGTTTAAGCTAAATTTTTTTTTCTCACTGAATTTAACAATAAAAAAAATAAGTTGATTAATGATTTTATTTTAAAGAACATATCGTAAATCGATTCGTCGGAAACGATTCAAGGAATTATTCGCGAATGCTTGACCATGTTGATGAAGACACAAATCAAAAGATTAAGAATAAAAACTAAGAAGTATTCAAAGAAGTCACGCCATCATCAGTTCTCAAGGGCTACGCACATGATAAGAAACGTTAATAAAACTAATGATCTTTATAAAATTGTTTAAAAGGGTGAAGCTGTCCTCTAACAACTATTTTAATCCTTCGTGCAATGGCAAAATAAAGAAACTGAGACTTCTAGCTTGTAAAATAAGTTTTTGAAATTTTCCTCGAGGAACGAACATATCTCTTAAGTGCGTTCATAATGTTGTAGCTGTAGGCTTGCAACTTCAATTTCGTTCCTCCTCATGCAAGAGATTTTAATCAAAACTCAGTTATTGTTTTCGAACCCATGTCCTTTTCAACTTTTATCTGCGTGCACTTGGCCTACCGTAGCTATACGTAAATTTATTAAAAGGGCTGAAGCTGTGCAAACAGTATCAAATAGGGGCAATGAAGACCAATATACAAATAAATTGTGAAAAACTCATTTTTTATACTCTACAGTACTTGTGATGTTGGATATATTAACTTTGTGCTCGTACGTATGTGTGTAACATACAGAAGGACTTAAGAGATAGACACACATTTCATTATATCGATCAAGTAACAATCATTTCCTAAAATGAATTAAACTTTTTTGTTTGCCTTTCTGGCTCTCTGCCCGTCTGTCTGTCCGATATCTGTTCATGTAGTTTTGCGTTTAAGTGAATTGTGCCGCACCAATACAATTGTACAATCACCTCCAGAAAATAAGACTCAATTGATTGGTATAATGAAAGCTGAGTCTATCACTTAACTCTTTAGTGATGCTGCGTGCACCCCCACAAAGTTAATATATTGTGCACCGCAAGTGAATAGTTCAGAACATAACTGGGGATACTTGTTTCCATAAAGTGCTTTTCCAAATTACTTTCTATTTTTATTTAAATAAGAATTTGTGTAAACGTTTTACTTATAAAAATATATATATATATATATATATATTTTTTTTTTTTTTTTAATCTTATTGTTAGTGTTAGTTATTATTAAATCTGTGAGAAAAATTTACTTAGAGTTTTTATTGCTGTTGATCAACATGGCAGTTAATTGTTATTGTTGTTGTTCTCTCCGCCTTCATCGTTATTTCCATTGTGTTTGTTTTTGCTCTTCAGTGAATTAAAATTCACTGGATTTTCTGTAGCTTACTTTTAGGCATTAACTTAACTGTTGCTATTTATTTTAAGTTGTGTAAACGTGCTGCGCTCTTGTTTAAACGCCATGCGGCGACGTTGTTTAATGTATTCAACATAATCTTTTTGAAATAAAATGTTTATTAAGCGACGCAATTTAAACAAAATTTTAAATTAGATAATAAAAACAATAAAAAAAATAAAAAAAATTAAAACACAACATTTACACTTATTTCTTAGTTCTTAGTTCATGGGCAGGATATTCAATAGTCAAACGCTTTATATGAGAATTTTTTTTTTTTTGTGGAATGGATGCAAACCAGTTCACATCATCATTCGGTGTATTGCGATCAACATTTCTTCACTGTTCATGTAATGCGATAGTGTCTGCATACCGTGAAATTTTGCGTTTTTTTATTATTACTTTCATCAGCTCACTCATTCACCCTTTGTATTACACTGTTTACCATTATTAAGCACTAAGGGTATAAGCACTTGGGTATAATAAAAAAAAAGTCGAATGTTATTTAAAAATCATATTCTTTGAAAATGTTTATTAATAATTTGCTTTTTTCTTGTTTTTTTTTTTTTTTTTTAATTTAATATCAAGTTATTTTTTCAGAGTTAGTTCATTAAAGTTTGAAGACTTTAACTGAATTCTGAACAGAAAAAAAAAAAGAAAATTGAAAAATTTATTAAGCCATTTTACCGTTGCACTCATTCAACATCCATTATATGCATTAGTAAACCGCATAATTAACTATCTTTTTAAGCTATCTATTTATAGAGAAAGTATTTTGCTTTGAGGAGATGAATTTTTTTATACAAAAACTTTTCACTTTTCATTGAAATTTAATTTGAAATCACTTAGAATGATCTTCAAACGTCAAATGATATTAAACAATATATTCTGCATTTCTAACTTACTGTATATACGCTCTATACATATATACATGACGGGTGAGATTCTCTTAATCCTTAACATTGTTTAGCGATATAAATGAAATAAAATTAATTACAGTACACATGGCTTGTTGCTGAGCATATTTGTTTGCGTGCGTTTGTCTATGTATTTGTGCAGAGTATAGATAGATGTAACAAGGTGAATTGCAACTAAGGTTAACATAAGGTGACATACTTTTGTACATTTTGTTGGATTATATCGCGTACTCATTACAAGTGCTTACATGACGTTGTACTAGAAATAGCAAAAACCACAGTAATGACAGTATTACGTTCGCATAGTCTATGCTCGCAACTAAATGAATGTTTTCAAATTTCAAGCAATTGACAATTAACCTTATAGTTCATAACGAATTTTTCATACCCGCCATCACTAAATATACTGAAATTTTTTTTCTTTTTAATGTAGAGAATGAAGAATAGTGAATAGGTTAAATTCTCAATTGTTTATACCCCATACCATATTTGATGCAAAAATACATTAAGTTTTTTATGGATGTGTGCAACATCAAGAAGGACTTGAGATAGACTCAGAATCACTTTCTAAATCGATCTAAACTTGTCTGTCCTTCTGTCCATCTTATCTTCTCTTGGATGCAATGCAACAAATCTGTACAAATGCAACCTTAAGTGTTTTAACAATAAATTTCTACATAAGCTGTCAATCAGTTAACGACTTTTTAGTTTTCTTTAACCGCATTCTATAGAAATGGATATTTTTTTGTTTAACTTGACTAAATATTTAAGTGTATAAGTAACGTAATGCTTGAAACGCAAAGATATTGAAGACTATAATGTTGAAATAAATTGTTTGAGTTTTATGTATCTTTTAAGAATGTGTATACATTTAGGTTAGGGGTTACAAATGCCATTAGTTGTTTAATATATGTAAGTAATAATCGATACAAAGCGAGAGGTAGAATTACACATGATTTCTTGTTGTCTTTTATTTAGATTAGTTGCTACGCGAGGATGAATGGAGGGCATTAGTGTTGTGTGTTAATGCTTTTCAACGCCATAAATGTGGGTAAGAACATTATTAAACTTATATGTCTCGGGGTCCATTCAGCTGTTTACAACTTTGCGTGTCTACTTGTGGATTTTGTCGATTTGCTTACGCAACTATTTGTTCTTGCATATGCTTTTATACCCATCATCGAAGGATGGGTGGGCATATTCGGTTTAGCAAAACGTTTGCAACGCTTCGAAGCGAGTATTAGATAGTTAACAAACTTTTGATTATTCTTGATTAGCATCAAATTCTAAATCGGCTTAAGCATGTTCGTTTGTCTGTCTGTGTAATGTCTGTTGTAAATGTTCTCCTGGCGACAAAAACGAAACTTTCGACTTCAAATTTGACAAAAACGCTTAAAATGCTTACCCGTTGGTTGATATTGAAAATGGACCAAATTGGTCGAGGGAGACGCTCACAGCAACAAATAAACTGAGATTACCTCCATTTTTCAAAAGGAAATGAAAAACTGTTTTTTTCTCATAAAGATATGGGCTACAATTGGCAAAAGAACTTGGCATTGACTTGAGATTTTCAAAGGACACGCCTACAACAAAAACTTGTATATTAAAAATAGAAGAAATCAACTGCGTCCTCTCCACATTATAGATGATTAGAATTTTGTTCTGTTACTTCCTTTGCATTTTTCTTCAAATTTTCTTACGTGATTTCTTCTTTTTATTATTTATTTACATGCCTATCGTTCCGCCTACTTAACCTCTGCGTTTTCTGCTAATCTATCTATTTAGGCTTTTTCTTTTTTTATATCTACGAAAGATTCTGTTCCTTCTTCCTTCTATGACCTTCGATCGTCCTAATAATTGGAAAGTTGTTCCAACGGTATCTACTTTTCCTTTCTCTACATTTTTGCCTGTCCTGGTTTTGTTCTCTTTGATCCCCTTTTTCGTTGTGCTGGCAGTTCATCTGTCTTGTATTTTTTAATTCCTTAATAATGCTTACTTTTTTTCTGCCTTTCTATTTTTTTAATTGGTAAACTGCCACTGCTCTCTTCCTTCTCCCCACCTCCCTCTTTGGCTGTTCATCGGTCTTCCCGTTTTTTATCCAGTCGCTTTTATAACTTTTTCTCGTCATTCGCCCTCATCACTGTCTGCACCGTGTTTCTTATTCCTTGAGTCTTCACATACGTCCATCGTTGCTTACTCTTCTGATGTTTGGTTGATGGGTGGAGTAATCGAATAACTATTCTTCTCATGATCTATTTCTTCAACTATTTCTCTTTGCTTTTCTCTATGCTCTGCCCGTTCATGTGTCTGCTACTTTTTTTTTTTTTTTTTGATCAGTTCCCTACGAACATCGATCTGTGCCCTTCTCTCTCCTAACTAATTTCCTGCTCGTTTTCTCTAACGTCTGTTCATTTCCTCGCTTCGCCTAATTTTCCATCGCTGTTTTGCGGATTTTTCCATGACTCAATGTGGCAGTCAGCTGTCTGACCGCCCGTCATTTTTGGCTTTCCATTATTTCACCCATATAAAGGTGCCTGCGTCAGTCTCTTTGTCACGTCGTCCGTTGATTGCGCCCTTCTTTTCATATATCTATGCGGTTTCTTGTTGAAATTTCCAACAAGGCAAAGATTGAGGTTAAAAGGCGAAATAAAGAAAATTCGACGAAGCGTTTGATCGTTCGCTTTTTTTATATACTTCAACTTGTCTGTTCACCAGCTGGTCTGTCTAAGCGTACCTGTCAGTTTGCGTCACTTTGATTTTTGTCCATCCGTCCGTCTAGGTAATCATCTATTTTTTTTTTTGTGCCGCTCCTATCACTACGAGTCTTTTGTATAAATTGTAAAAGAGAGCAACGCGAATCATTATGAAAAGTACAAGCTTGAATAGAATGAACAGAAGAATTTGATTCGATTCGGCGAATGTCTCTGAATTGATTATGAATAAAAGTCCCATATATCTTAAGTCACTTTTTTGTTACACATACGCATAAATTTAATATGCCTTGTACTACCAAGCGGCGTACCAAGAGTACCGAAAAGAAAAATTCGATCTATAATAGATAGCATTACATAAAAATATAATTTATAGGCAGGCATTGCAATGGGAGGTCGAACGTTTTAATAACGTAAAAGAACGTGGAATAAAATTTTAATTACTTCTAAATAGGATTTCATTTATTTATTTATTAATTTTTTTGTTTAATAATATCGATTAATTGACCTAATCTAAGCGATTTCGTTGTAATTAAAAAAAAAAAAAAAAAAAGGAAAAAAACAAACAAACAAAATTGTACAAATCAACGAATGCTGTTTATGATAATTACAAAGTATGTAGTGAGAAATAAAAAAAAGTCCAATGATAAATATCATAATGTTGCAAAATTGTTGTTCTAATTAATAGTTCTTGTTTATGTACAATACTGGGTATTAACACGCATACATTGAAAGATTTTTTTTATGTCTTCATTTACACCAACAAACAATTCTTTTTCAAATTCAAAAAATTTCAATGCTCGGTAGTTGTGTCTGCATACATGTTAAGCAGTTTTTTACATGCATGTGATATTGTCTGCTAATATCATAATCCGCTTTCTTTCTTATCATCATTGTTAATGCTTTCCTTTTTCCCTCTAATATTTTCCATTCACGTTACAAAGCACTTAAATGTATTTTTTCATGGCTTATGTAACTATTTGCCATATAACTCTTGATTCGTTCATGTTTCTTTATTAATTTCAGTTACATTTTATCTACTTGTTGTTTTTTTGCAAAAAACTTGATACATATATGTACATATACATATATATATATATATTTATTTTTTATTTTTTTTTTTGAACTCTTTTCAATTAATATCTTTTTAATATTTTTCCTTTATTTTTTGGCAAGGATATAAAAAAAAAAAGTAAATAAATCTACTGTCTATTTGAATAGTCAGTGAGTGGGGTGTCAGCTTGCCGCACTAGCTAACACATCAACACTTTGATTAGTTTCTTACATTATTATTAAATACGTTTGCATGCCCGGGATGCTGCCGCCACTCTGGACCATATTTGACTGAGCTCAAATTTAATAATTATTTGCGGTATTCATCGGGTTGCTAGTCAATTATGAGGGGAAATTGATTATGTGTTTAATTTTAGCTTTACGGGAAACATTTTCGAAAAACAGAGTTACAAGCATCCAGCGAGAGAGACATGGGATATATATAGAGAGAGAGAGAGACAGAGAGAAAGAGAATGACAAAAAGTTACCATACCTTTTAAAAATTTATACTTTTGTTATAATTTACTTGCAGTTTGTCGTTTCACTCTTACTATCATTGACTTGAAATTTTTCGCTTAATACCTCAGGTCACTTGCGATACACTAGTATATTAAGTTTGCGCGGATGCATGTATCGTCCCTAAGTACTGAAAATAGACTCACCTTTTACTTTATATTGTAAATGTAAGTTTGTTCGTCCATCTAACCATCCGTCCATCTCGTTTTCTTGTATTCAACTTATAGGTCGCAAGTTATGAGATATTTTGTTGAAATTCGATACATTGGCGTGCTTTGACCCAAGGGCAAATGCTATGGAAAATGCTTTGGATCGGGCCACTTTTACCTTCAATTTTCAACAACTAGCAACTTAGTTTGAAAAGTCATTCTATGAATAACCGTAGTGTGATGTTTATGTTGGTCCAAGTCCCACTATAGTGTTTTCATTTTCTATTTATTCCTGCATCTATTAATTAATCAGTTATATATATATATATATATATATATATTTTTTTTTTTGATTTTTTATACTATTTATTTAATGACTTTAACAATTGATATATAAATTAAGCGCGGATCTGGTAACGCTTTAATATATATTTTTTTCAAACTAGCTGGCATGCGCAATATATTTCGAAAAAAGTGAAACGAAAAAAATTCATACCGTAAACAGTTAAATGCTCAAGCTGTCATCTTTAGTTATGCGAAAACATTGTTGCACATTGAATTTATGTAAATGGCTAGAGGCTTTAACATTGTTCGATATTCGTCCAAAAACACACACACCGAGACGTACAAACACACTTAGATACGCAAGTTCACCTACTATCGCGTGTACCGCTTTTTACGGAAATCATTGACCTGTTTATATGCGTATTTTTGTAGTTTAGACTTTGTAAATAATAATTGTCATCCTTTCAAGTCTTCTATCAACAAAAATAACGTATGAAAATACTATTCTGCTATCGGCTGTAAATCAAAATTACAGCAGCAATCAATTATTTCCCCGATACTGAGGCATCATAACTTTGAACCATTAATTGTAATTAACTTCTAATTTTCGAGAATTTATAGGCAAAGCAATAAGCTAAGTTTATGCTTTCCATATTAAGCTGCAGGAAATTTCTTGCGAGTTATTGAGATGCACTAAACACTGTTACATTCCGCTTAGTTTGTTAATTAACTCACATGCCTGCCGTAATTTTGCAAATATTTATTCCACATTAACTCGCTCATATGCCTTGCAAGGTAATAAGAAACAAGTAAGAACATTATAGTCGGTCAAGACCGACCATTGAATACCCTAACTAAATTCTTATTTTTATTATAGAACACAATAATTATATCTTGTTTCTATATAAAGTCACATTTCTCGTCTGCATATTTATTGGGAAGGGTGCCCAAAATGCAACCTAATCTAATACAAGTTAAATCCTTACATAAGCCAGGATCCAATAATGGCTTAATTTTCATCGCCACGTATTAAAACTCTGCCTTTTTTGCTCTAAAAAGAAGCCATTTTCCCGAAGATCCTCATTAGCGTAGGATCCAAAAAAATAGGCAGAGATGGTCCAAATTTCGTACAGTTAAAAGATATGATTTTCATTGAAAATTACATCTTTTTATCGTATGAACTTTTTGCCCCAGCCGGTCCGAAGTTTTCATACCAATTGAAAACGCTGAAGTATTACTACTTAGCCACTTTTGCCAAGAAAATTTTAAAATTGCGATATTTCCCCATATAACGACTTTTCAGAATAGGGCGTCGAATAGTGGTCGACAAAGTACAATTATTCGAAACATTTAGGTCTGCAGCTTGAACACAAAAACACGTGGAAAACCTGCTTTTATCAAATAGCCTTGAACCGAGCACACAATGAAAGGATGCCTATGGAGAGACACCACTATCGACAACTACACAATTTTATAAAGTACACTATAAGTCCCGATAACAAAGTGACTGGTTTTGTTTTACACGAATCCGTCTTGTACAAGCCTTTTAGGTTACGTAAACATATGGACTGTTCACGGCCTAAATTAATTGATTTACTTGTTATATTTAAGATAAATTTCTTTAATAAATAGACTACACGGGACAACAACTTTTGCGTACCATTAACTAATAAATGCTTTTTCTTTAAAGATAGAAAACGAAAGAAATAAAATAACTCCGAATAACTTTTTCATTCTTTTACCGAGTAGTACGAATCCTCTTGTAGCGTACTATATGAACATGGCCGCAATTTTTTCTGTCTTTTACGTACGCGTATTATAGGGCAGTCTACTGTATTGCATCTGCATGCTTCGTGAAGGGTCCATACGCGAATATTATAGAAAATTTTCTAGGATAAGACAATGCAAGCACTTTGGGTGACTACAGTTATCCATGAAAAACTTGGTTTGTCGTACCATTCCCTCGTCTCTCCTCTTTACTTTCAAATTTTAATCTGATTTATTGAAACATAAACGATAGCTTTTCTTGATTTGACCAGCTCTCTTAATTCGATATCTCTTTACTGAGACCAGGTTCCTAGGCTTCCTTTCCGGTCTTAAATCTGTCGTCATCATTGGGATTTTTTTTTTTTTATATCACCAATCACGGCCAGAAAGAAGACGAAGTAAAGAAAATGAAAGATGCAGGGACGTGGGCGGTCTGGGTCGGTGTGGCCCACTCCGTAAGGGTTATGGCTTTACCGAAGGAACACTCACTACAGCCAAAGTAAACCCTACCTACCCTGAGATTCGAACCCGCAGATACGGATTTGTTAATTGCGATTCATATCGACTCGGTCACTCTGGCCGACTATTTTCATGCACTCATAACTGGAATTGGAATTTGTTGTTTGCCCCTGGTCCACACCCACTACATATATAATAATGATATTTTTTAATTTCCAAAAAAATCCTAAAATTATCCTAATAACAAATGTCATCATCATCATCATCATTAACTTGTGGAAGAAATTTTTTTTTCATTATGCACGTATCGAAGTGTCGATGGGTGATAAAAATCATCTGGAATCATTTAATACGTTTCAACGATTTGTTGCATTTAAGCAAGATTCTAGATTCGTACGATACCGTAATGTACTAATATCTGTATGTCGCAATCGCTGACACTAGCAAATATTTGTTTATTTTAAGTCCGCAAAGTCCTTTTAGATGTTAAAAGCTGTTTATGCATTTGTGTTTACTTTTGTCCTCTTACAATATAGTATAGCATTAGATTGCGGCCATTCAAGGTAGAAAAGAGAAAGAAAGAAATAAGAGAAAAAGTGAAGAAGAATGAATGTGTACAGGGAATGTGAACAATGTGAATTTCCATTTAAATTTTTAGTCACAATGACCAGCATGCAGTACATTTGCATATCGAAAGCATTCATACTACAGTTTAACAATCATTTTATGAATGATTTTCTCCCCCATTTCCAGACATATTTGCATATGAAAAGGCTGAGTTCCTTTTCCTTTTTTCATTCTTTTTTTTTTTTTTTTTTGTTTATTTTTGTTTGCGTTAATATTTAGGTCTTTTAGATTTTATGCTTGCACGCTCTGCTTTACTTGACATCTATTTCCATTTGGAGTAAAAAGGGGAAAATTAAAATTTGTAGAATTAAATTTAGTTAGAAATGAGAAATTTTAAAATGCATTACTTACTACTTACTCTTCATATGATTCACTTCCTATTAGCAATGCGAAAAGATAATTTGATGAAAAATATCACAGACTATTAATATTCAGTCGTATCGTAGAAACTTGAAGACTCAATGCAATTTGCAAATTGCTGTGATACACTCAATGCAAAAATGATAAATCGAAATGGATGCGATTAAAATTCGTAGCTTTCTAGTGTTTAGTGATTTAAAATTTATTTCGTAAATAAGCAAGTAAGAACACTATAGCGAGTCACCGTCCAGCATTAACTAAACGTCACACAGGAAGTGGTCCGATTTGAAATATTTTCAATAGCCAGAACAAGTCAGTATATCAAATTTCTCGAAAATATCTTAAAAATGATGGCCTGCAAGTTGACCGCAACAACACAAGAGTGATCAGAGGGACAGAAATGCTTAGATCAAGTCAACAAGTGAAAGATCAAGTCTTTCTGGATGTTGTGTACACGCATATATACGCACACAACCGCACACACTTAATGCTCTTTTTGTACTACTTGACAAAGTTCGCGTCACTAGATCGTGAACAGCACAGATTTAATTTATAATTTTTAGAAGCAGTACTTACTCATTTTTACAACAACATTCTTGACTTAAATATGCTTTTCGACTGACCCGATACACTTACCACTGTCTTCGACTGTCTCAAATATTGTCCTTATATACTCTCTTACAAGCAAGTTATCGTGTTTGCGACATTTTTAATCCGTTAATCCGTATTTTCCGCTAAATTTTTGCCAATCGCTGTTAATTTTTTTCGTCAGTGACCAGCTGCATGACGCGCCATGAATGTGCACTTGATTTTTACACCCTACAACACTTGTGGTACAGGTTAAATGAAGTTAGCGCGGCCGTATGTAACATGCAGAAGGGCTTAAGGTACACCTACCTTTTATTATACCGATCGATTCCGAATCGTGATTAAATTGATCTAAGCTTATCCGTTCGTCTGATGTTTGTCCATGTAAACTTGTGTTCAAGCTACAGATCGCAATTTTTTAGATATTTCGATGAAATTTGGTACACTGCTGTTTTGACCAAGGGAGAACACAATTGAAAATGGTTCGCATCAGCCCACTTTCTCGATTGCTCTCTATTCCGAAAAGTGGTTGCGTGTGGATAAATTGCAATTTTCAAAA